CATACAAGGGTTGCTCGGGCTCGGGCGGCGGAGGATACGGCGACGACATTGGTGCGGCGGGTCAGTTCTCGGAGGTCCATTGAGGAAGGGCGGCAGCTCCTGCGGGAACAAAGGGCCAGTCCTCGCCCCGGGGCCGAGAGCGGTGCGTAAGGGACAGCAACAATCGGCCAACCGACACTTGGGCGCCGTGGATGGGGCGTCGCGCGGTCGTTGCGCGGCGGGCCTGGCCCGGCAAGCGAGCCAAGACCGGCGCGCGCCAACGTCGTCACTACCCGAGAAGCTTGAACGCAGGGCTGCAGCCGCCGCCTGCTCCCCGACCGAGGACCGGTACCTAGGCCGGGCTCTCTATGCTCACTCGTGCTCCTGCCTCTGCCTATGCTTCTAGGTGCCAGGCATATCCGCGCCTCCGCTTTAGGGCCTGCTGCGTCGAGCGGCGTTCCTTGTGTCTGCGTGGTGGGGCTGCGCGTGTACGGTGCAGGCTTCGAAAGCCGAAGAATGCCAGCAACAGTCTACGCAGTGCAATTCGGGCAAGAGACTTACGGCCCTGCGTTGGACCTCAGCAGCAGGTACGGAGTATCCCGTGTGCCGCTCAGCCTGACTCTCCCGCCGGAGAGGCGGCCGGGGCCGCGTCTGCAATAGGCGCCGCGGCACCCAATCAGAGAGCAGCAAGCTCGGGGCGGAAGCGCGCGGCGCCGACGCCTTGGCGCGACGCGAGCCCGGCAGCTGCCTGCGTCGTGCTGCCACAGTTCCGCCAGCTTCGTTCAACCCGCAGCTGCCCACCGTCCGCCCCCGTCGCCCGTTCCCTGTCCTATTTCTCGCCGTCCGCCCACGCCACAACCTCTCCGGCTTACCGTGCCCTTCTCGCCTTCGCTCTTCGCATATACGGCGCGATGGACGCTCTGGTGGCTCAGTACAGCCGCCCGGCCTTCGCCGACGAGGCCGCGGTTTCAGACGACCAGCTAGAGCTTGCCCAGTCGATGCCGCCGCTCTCCCTCAAATTCGCCCTTCCGCCCGTGGCTCAAGTGAGTTGCCCCGTCGCCCGTCTCCGCGGCCGTCTCTGGTGTCGGTGTGCTCGTCCTTGCGTTGTTTCTGACCATTTTGTTTCCCCCTGGTGTAGCCCTCCTCCTGGCTGCGCTCCATGACCGACGACTACTCGAATCCCAACTGCCCCATCAAGATCGCCCATGGCACCACCACGCTTGCCTTCCGTTTCCAGGGGGGGATCATCGTCGCTACGGATTCGAGGGCGACAGCTGGCAACTGGATAGCCAGCCAGACGGTCAAGAAAGTCATCGAAATCAACAAGTGTCTGCTGGGCACCATGGCCGGAGGCGCTGCCGTATGTCTCCCCCATATCCGCATCCGCTCACCTTGTCTGAATTGTCCGTGGCTCATACGTTATAATTCCGCAACAGGACTGCCAGTACTGGCTCGCATACCTGGGCATGCAGTGCCGCCTCCACGAGCTGCGACACAAGCGCCGAATCTCTGTCGCAGCAGCCTCGAAGATCCTTGCAAACTTGGTATACTCTTATAAGGGCATGGGTCTCAGCATGGTACGAGATACCCTCTTCTCATGACTCCCTTCGTAGTTATCGTTGCCATCGAGCTACCACTTTGTCTCCCTCTCATCTGCTAACGGACACCCTGCAGGGCACCATGTGCGCCGGCGTCACCCCCCAGGAAGGCCCCGCCCTCTACTACATAGACAGCGACGGCACGCGCCTAGCCGGCAACCTCTTCTGCGTCGGCTCCGGCCAGACGTTCGCCTACGGCGTGCTCGACGCCGAGTACCGCTACGACCTCACCGACCAAGAGGCCCTCGAGCTCGGCAGCCGCAGTATCTTGGCCGCCACCCACCGTGACGCCTTCTCCGGCGGCTTCATCAACCTTTACCATGTCAAGGAGGACGGCTGGGTCAAGCACGGCTTCAACGACACCAACCCCATCTTCTGGCGGACGAAGCTCGAGAAGGGCGAGTTCTCAAACGTCACGGCGGATATCGAGTGAGTGATTGTTCGCGGGAAGTATGCAAGGCGGGTTGTGATGGAGAGGACCGGAAGCTGTAGGTCGTCTACGGCGGAGATCGAGTGATGGTTCGGGGTGTAGGCAAGGCAGATTGTGGTGGGGAGAACGCGGAGCTGTTGGCCGTCATGGATTAGTGGGGCAAGCACACCTTCGGGGCTCAGGGGGTGGTTTTAGAGATCGGCACTGGGAAGCTTTTGGTTTTTCGGTTTTGTAGTTTCTTGAACCTGTGATATTAGCTTAAACATCTGCAACAGAGCTGTTGGGAACGCACCTAATTTCTTCCTATTACCGCTACTCTGACCAAGTTTCCTCATTCGAAGACTGTCTTGAAGTTCTGTGTCGAATACGTGCTCCTAGCTAGTTAATAGAAGTTAGAAGCCAGTAAGCGTACGTCGATTGTGTTGTCACTTTCTAGGCTCGAGATGACGTCGAGACTAGACTTAAAGTGCTGCACGACTTGCGGGGTTTTGAAACCCGCGCCACGTCCATTTCATAGACTTCGAACTCAATACACAGAAGATAGACGTTTGTAGGCTCGTCCTAATCCAATATTTTACACGTTGTAGCTATGTAGAAACCATCAACTGGACAATTAGTGCCTGACCCACATATCCCTGCCACGCTAGACTCAAGGAAAATTTGATATCGCACGACCTCCAACCCCCCAGCTCGACAACCAAAAACGCTAGTAGTGGATAGCCTTGTCATAGCACACCATCGCTGCCTCCTTGAACGCCTCCGCCAACGTCGGGTGAGCGTGGCACGTGCGGCCGACGTCCTCGGTTGAGGCGCCGTACTCGAGCGCCAGCGTGCCTTCGGCGATCATCTCGCCCGCATTGGGCCCGACGATGTGGATGCCCAATATCCGATCCGTCTGGGCGTCGGCGATGAACTTGACCATGCCCTCGGTGTCGAGGTTGGTTTTGGCGCGCGAGTTGGCCGAGAAGGGGAACGTGCCGACCTTGTACTTGACGCCGGCCGCTTTGAGCTCGGCCTCGTTCTGCCCGACCCACGCCACCTCCGGGTAGGTGTACATGACTGACGGGATCGCACCGTAGTTGACGTGCCCGTAGGCCTTGGTGACGTATTCAACGGCGGCGACGGCCTCTTCCTCGGCCTTGTGCGCGAGCATGGGACCAAACGTGACGTCGCCGATGGCTCTGATGTGCGGGATCTTGGTGCGGTACTGGTGGTCGATAACTAGGCGGCCGCGCTCATCCGTTTCGAGTCCAACGTTCTCAAGGCCGAGACCTGCGGTGTACGGCCGGCGGCCGATCGCAACGAGGACAACATCCGCGTCAAGCTAGCGATAGTACCATGCTCATTAGCATCCGGTAATGTATTTGTTCTTGAGCAAGATTGGCGTACCGATTCTTCCTTACCACCCTTCGCAGCCTCAATTTTAAGGTCAATGGCGTCTGAACCAACGTCTCCGCTCGCGACCTTGGTATTGAGCTTGAACTTTAGGCCCTGCTTTGCAAGGATCTTCTGCGTCATCTTTGCAATCTCAGCATCCATCCCTGGACCACCAATCTGGCCCAAGAATTCAACGACAGTAACTTCCGACCCAAGGCGCGACCAAACCGAGGCCTAAGTGAATGGGTTAGTGAAGTGAACATCCGTGTCATCTGCAGAACGAACTGACCATCTCAAGCCCAATGATACCACCACCGATAACAGTCATCTTCTTAGGAACCTGCTCGAGAGCAATGGCCCCCGTACTCGTGATAACCCTCTTTTCGTCGATCGTCAAACCCGGAAAGGGCGTTGATTCGCTTCCGGTAGCAATAAAGATGTTCTTCCCCCTTACAGACCTCTCGCCGCCCTCATTTAGGTTAATCTGGACGGTATGCTCGTCGGCGAACGCTCCGGCGCCTTTGATGTATTCCGCCCCGTTCTTCTTCAGCAAGTACTCAACACCCTTTGTCAATCCCTCGACCGACTGGTCCTTGGCCTTCATGAATTGCTGCAAATTGAGCTGAACATCACCAACTTCAATACCACGCTTCTTGGTGTCGTGAAGGATCTGATGGTAGAGATGGGAGTTGTTGAGCAGGGACTTGGACGGAATGCAACCAACGTTCAGGCAAGTTCCGCCAAGGCTGCCACGCTTCTCTATGCATGCTACCTATGATGAGCGTGAGCGATAGGGGCCGGAAAAGTCTGGGCGCACGGGTTCAGGTGCGTGGGACTCACCTTCAAGCCCGCCTGCCCGGCCTTGATAGCTGCGACGTAGCCGGCGACACCTCCGCCGATGATGACAAGGTCCTTTTCGTCTGGAGGGAGATTAGTTAGACGGAAGGGCGAGTGCATTCACAAGTCCGGCGCACATACCGGCTTCACTTGCGTATCCTCGCCGCCACCGCTGACCGGCGGAGACGCCCAGCGATGGGCCGAAGGTGTTCGCAGCTCCGAACTGAGTGACCAGCGGCCGCGCCGGCGCTCGCCGGGGAAGAAGTGTCCGCAGCATCGGTGGTGGACGAAACTCGAGAACAGCCTGAACGAAGCCCAATTGACGTCTCGAGCAAGCTCAAGAGGTGAGGCTGAGGGTATTGGGGCGGATTGTGTAAGAGCCACGAGAGGAATGCTCGGACAAGCAAGGTATGGGCGGGCGGGAAAAAGCGGAGCTCTCGGCGGCGCATGTTATTACGAGAGATGGTGGCGCGGGCGGCAAGACTCCAGCCACACCTGACTAACGTTCGCACTCATATCAGTGCCCTTCCTCACTTTCCACGGCTTCCGGAAGGCCAAACTATGGGGAAAAAGAGTCTTTGCAAATACGGAGGGATGCTGCGCGATATCATAGATGCAAAGTACCTAGCTAGAAAATCTGCATGCGACTTAGTAAAGCTGTACTTTTGTATTCAAAAGAATTTGCCCGATTAGGCTGTTGGAAACGATTTCAGTTTTACAAAGTTTGACTATATATACTATATTTGTTAATGCAATGTTAATAGCATATAACAAGCCATTCCTCGATGGTCTAGTGGTCATGATTTCCGCTTGTCATCTAACTTGAGTTACAAGCGCGGGAGACCGGGGTTCGATTCCCCGTCGGGGAGTTATTTTTTTACAATTTTTTCCTCTTTGTTTCGACACTCGATTATGATTCTCTTTCCACACTCTTTTTCATGCATGTAAAGAGACAAAGAACAACCTTGACAAATTTTCTACAATCTCAAGTGCCTCTGTGGTGGTCTGTGAACTCTTGCCCCAGCCACCAATCAGATGCTGGAGAACCAAAGCACAAACCTAGCCCGGCTAGTTTTAATCTTTCATGTACACTACTCTAGACACACTTCCATACTCAAACACCGTAATTAGGTTATTCTTAACTTACAAGTTGATGGCATTTTAGCGATGCAAATATAACCTGTCAGAAGGGGATAGTTTCTGAAGCGCTCTAGGACTATTTATGGGACACGGCTTAAATAACTTGGATAGATAGAATATCGATCGATTATAAGGTTAGCTCGCCTGCTCGCCTAAGACGTGCTGTATCCTTGCTCCAAGGGTTTTGTTTCAGTCAACTACACAAGCTCAGTACATGAAAGAAATAACAGCGCCGAGATAAGTCTCTTTCAAACCTCAACGATCACTCCCAATTTCCTGGCCACCATTAAATACACGCTCTTCAAGTTTGTTGGCAACCAACTTGCTACCCCACTTGACGGTCTGCCTATCGGCTTTATTGCCTACGAGGTCCGATTTGGCAACGACTTTTCTAAGGAAGAGCTGTAATCCTTCGCTAGCAGAAGCTGGAAGGTCCCCCTGGGAGAAAGCGGCTAATAGGGCCTTTTCATCCTGCTTGTTGGCGTACTGCTTTTGAGATTCTAGGATTGTAGTTATCATAAGAATCTCAACAAAAGTCTTCCCCTTGGAGCCCAGATAGGGGAGTTTGAGTGGCTGGAATATTGGTCAGCTTCATGCACAGAAATATATCCTTGGAAAATTTAGCTCACTTTGAGGACGGCAATTGAAAGTACACTAGCAGATATGATGCTGCCAAAGAACTTTGCCAAGTTCACAACCTTCCTCGTGCCAAGACTTTCGCCGAGTTTGTCTTCCAATGCCTCATTGTCTTCGTCAGAACCCTTCTCCCCTATTCTTTTGAACAAGTCCCACAGAGTAAACTGAAACGCGTACTTGAATCTGCGTTCTGCACAGAGCTTCCTTGCAATTAGAGCATAATACGGATTGTAAGTGAGCTCTTCGCTAACACAATGTGTTAGGACCCTTGGTATTTCCTGTTCTTGGGCCTTCTTCAATTTGAGTTTCGACAGTCGTTGGTAAGCATCGTTATAGTCTGTGCCAGACAAAATAGCGACGAAAATGGCCCTACGGATATCGGTATTCATGCGTTGCTCTCGAGCGAGCTGCATAATGTCTGTCGTGCCGCTGCCAAACTCGTCGGGTTCCATGCCCATTTTTTTGGTGGGCTTTTCCTTCTCGTTAACCTGGAAGCTTTTGTCGTTGGTTTCATTCCTCCAACTTGCACCGACAAGCCACCATTTACCTCTCTTTTCGGCATCCCGCACATCGTCCAAACTAACCTGCAAGGGCTCGGTTGCCCTTGTGCGAGAATTTAACGACCCCAACATTTTCTTCATGCGAGTGGCGTGCTCCTGGTGTAATGCCGAGGTTGACTGCCCGGTTTTCATTCGATTGTTCTTCAAATCATTCAGCGTTTCAATCATGAATTTTGTCCGCACAGACAGGTTGGAATGGCCGATCTTCGCAATTGCTTGCTGTTGAAAAGACACGATATCCTTCAAAGCTGTCGGATCATCCTGGCGCAACTGAGATCCAGCATTACGAATTACTCTAAGGAGTAGTTCAGTGTTGACTTCCGAGAGCTCTTCTAGGAAATGTCGGATGTAGCCAAACATGAGTTTGCTCCCAATCATCTGAAAATTGTATAATTCCGCGGCAAATGTAATAATGTTTGATGTTTCTTTACCGGATCCGTAAGAATTATGCATGCCGTAGAACTTGTCGAAGTCTGCAACCACACGTTCGACTAAAATCGCGCCGAAATCCATGCCGACTACTTTGTATATCGCGACTGCGAATCCCGCATGAAGCAAGAGGAAAGTGTCGTTCAGGCTTGTTCGGTCGCATACTAGAATCATAAGAAGGTCGATTAAGCATGACGAGACATGTTGACGTGGATTGTTTTGGTACAACTGCTCAATGTCCCGAACAATGGAAACCATATTGGCCTCGGAGATTCGATTGAGAAGACCTTGAATCTGCTTTCGTAGGCGGAATAACGATTCCTGTTCCGAAGACGATGGTGCCCGTAGAGATGGTGGCACGTACTTTGCAGTGTGTGCTGCATCCTTGGGAACAGGAGGTACGTAAGGGTTTTCGCGCTGATTCTTCGGTTCTGCAGTTGATATCTCCTCCGAGTCGAAGGCGTCGCAATCGCCCTCATTTCCATCGTCACCTATTTCTGCGGAAAAGTTCCCAAGTTCCTCCTCGATACTATCAACCATAGTTTCGTCTTTATCTTCACTGTTTTCCTCATCTTCAGTTTCTCCTAAGATACTATCTTCATCCACGCTTCCGGAGCTCGAGAGACCGCCAAAATCGTTCTCGTTATCATCCATTCCAGCAGCGTTCTCCACTGTGCCATTCGCCATTTGTGCTTTTCGCCTTTTGGCATTAAACCAATCCCCATCTCCGGGCCGTTTTCGCTTTGTGCCCACAGAGTCATCAGAGCCATAGCCACCGGTATCACCAAGAATGTCGTCCAGCCCGTCATCTTCAAAGGACTTGGGTAGTTTCTTCTTGGACTTTATTCCGAGCCTTTTCTCTAGAGCAGCAATTTCATTGTCGTCGTCCTGGAGTTTATTTTTTAAGGTTCTCGATATTGCCTTTGCAGGGACAGAATGGTCGTCATCGTGACTCTGCTCCGCCGGCTCAGCTTCAGGCGCGCGCTTCAAGATGGATTTGGTGGGTTGGAGGTTTGTCGAGAAAGGTCGTAATCGTTGTGGAGGGCTGGTGGACTCTGATGATTGCTCCTCGCTGAGGCCGAGCTCGTCGTCATCTTGCGAAACTCCGATTCCCGTGTCTCCAGGGGTACGTCTCCGGTGAGCTTTCTTTTGCTCGCGCTCAGCTTTCCTTCGCTGTTTTCGGTTCGAAGCAGGGCGGCCAACGGATCGCCCTCCTGATGTACCTGCATGCATTTAGCACAATTTCCGGCAAATACAAATGCTAATAAATATAATATAAAGTACCTTCGATTTTGTCCAAAAGCTCCCTCGGGAGCTTTGGACCCCTCGACGTTCGCTGGCGCATAGCAATTGTTGGAGTCAAAGAAGAGAAAGAAGACGTCGCCGAACTTTTTCGGTGGTGGCTTTTGCGGTGATCGTTTATCTGATCGTCGGCCAATCACACTCCATTAAAGCCCGAAAGAAACCCCCCGCATCGCAACGCGCACACATCGTGCCGTCGAAACAAAAGGCGACGGCGAAGCTCGACATTCTCGCCAGCCCACCATGCCTGGAAACCATTTAAGCAACGACGAGGTGGGTACATAGTCAAAGCCCTAACGCATAGCAACCAGCGCTCACCTTCAACGCCGTCCAGTTCTTCACCCAGCTGGTCGGGCTGTTCGAATCGCGACAGAAGAAGGGCCACGGCTCCGTCTTGTTGACCCAGAAGCGCCGTAGGTCAACTTCTACACTCATCACCGCTAGCACTCGCTCATGTGTGGTTCAGTCACTCAAGGCGAATCCTCCGCGACAACTTCCTCTGCCAAAGCCGCCGACGATCCGCTCTGGGACCTACACCCGCCGCACCCTGTTCCAATCATAATCCGTGCCAGCAACGGCAAGTCCAAGGAGAGACGCCCCGACAAGGTCAAGCTCTCTACCGTCGTTCAGCCGGGTGACCTTGACGCTTTTTATACTCGCTACGCTGAGGTGTGCAAGTCTGGAATGCAGGCGCTTAAGAAACGGGACCGCAGCAAGCGGAAAAAGGACAAGGCGAAGAAGAAGAAGGCGGGAGGTGCCGGCACGGATGCGGAGAAGAAGGCATAGATGTGGATTTGTTAGGTTTCATATTGCGGGACGAAGTTGGCCTTTTCGAGATACCCTGGTTGTATAGCATTGCGAAGACGACGGGCGGTCAAGGATGAGTTTAAAGATTGTGTTGCCAGGCTAGCAGAGGTGCTCTTAGCTGTCATTATTGTGTAGCTTTTGGAGACCGGTGATTACGGAAGTAACGTCCCTGGCTACGTGGTGGAGCTACGTGACGTCGGGAGGGTTAACATCTCAGCGACGTAAGTCAACGCTTCAAGCTAACTAGTATTATATTTGCTCTAACAGATTTGCAGGCATAGCTAGCGATGTCTACAGAAAAATGAATTGTAGAATACTATATTTTGGGGCGCATTAGATGGCAGACATCTGCGATTCTCTTGAATTGATGAGTACACCACGGTTGCGGCCGTGCGCCTGCTTCTTGGGATGCTGACTACTCTTCTGCCTGCTTCTTTGCTTCCTTCATTTTCTTGAACGGCCTCAGATTTAGCGGGATCGGCTGGCCCATCCACGTTGCACGCTGAGTATGGTCTCGTTCATCATCTCCCGTGTTGGGGTGGATGAGCGCGGAAAGCGGCCCACGGTTGATAACCAGCCATGGAATGAAGGCACCAAATTGCTCGGGGTTAAAAAGGTTGACCTCGAACATGCCCACCATATGAGGCCCAACGGGATTGTCCCAGATTTGATAGATTCGCAGTTCGGGGACTAAGGCCGGAGACAAGCACGGAGACGTGTGTTAGCCCTTTCTCTCCTGCTCTTCCGCATACCGTTCGTAGCGACGCGAGAGTGGGCATACATTCCCTGCGAATCCTCTCCCAAAGCTCGTGGGCGAACTTGACGTCCTCTGGATCCGTATGGAGAAAATAAACGTGGATGTCGAAGCCGCCGCGCACGCCGTTTGTGATTGGAGTGACGAAAGAGTCGTAAGCGGGACTTCTACTGGCCGGCGGATTGATGTAAGACTTCCCATCCTCGGCATTTTCACTAGAAGCCGGTCAATTTGATGCGAA